AAATTCATCATGGCAATCAGAGTTCTGCATTCGCTATCTCCCTCACCTCACAACATGGAACTTGTGGTTCGTTTTAAAATTTCTACAGTGATGTACTTCCATGTGATGACATGAATTTATGCATCTTCTTTCAGGTTGAGAGATCATTTGACTTATCCAGGGTTCGTAAATGTTTTTTTTTTCTCGACTTGATTAAAAACATGTATATTTATTCTGTGGGTTATGGATGTATTTTAAAGATTTTCTGGTGAACTAGACCTAAAGTTGTCTGTCTTTGAGAAGTCACTTGTATGAATTCATGCCTTCTTGTTCATTATTGAGGATCAAAATTTTCAATGGCCGAGTCTTTGAGAAGTCAGTTATATGATGTATATGCCAAAAGGATGTGTTGCTTGTGGAGTGCACTAAATTGCTGTGTGATAGAACATACAAGTAATGTTAAGTTCTACATGAGGTTCTCCGTTTTTAAGTTGTATAGTTCTACATGGAAATTTAGTGCAGTCCACTAAATTGCTTGTGGAGTGCACTAAATTTCCATGTTCTACATGATAGAACATGACTTTGACACAATCATCATAAACTTTTTAAGTTGTATAGGTACCAGTAGTCATCTAAATTCTCCCCCAAAAGCATCATAAACTGACACACACTGCAACTAAATTCACTTTAGTTGTTTTCTGCAAAGATACATGATCATTCTCTATGAATGAATGATTGGTGAAACATCCTTCAGTTTCTCCAATCATATGATGCTTTCATGATCCGTCTTTCTGGAGCAAACATCTCTCCAGTGTATATGAACTGGTAAAGTTCCTATGTACTAACATTATTCCAATATATGACAGTTTAACAATACAAAATGAATCATAAACACCTAGCAGCATTTTCATGTGAGTTTCTCGAGATGGGAATAAACACAATAGTCAATGACTACACCTAGCAGCATTTTCATTGGAAACATATCGGTCTATGCCACACAATCCTCACCATGAGATCTTAATTAATGCTTCAAACTATTATTACCTTCTATAATTTTCATGATTTTGATATGATTGAATAGTTTCTTCAAATCAAATTGATCAAGAAATATTTGAAGGGTTTTCATCTTTTTATAGTTGACTGATGGCTCCTTGGAGAGGCTATATAGAGTGATCATTTACTGCTTTTCAAAGATGACTGACAATAATAAACATGAAATTGAAAAATACTAGTACAAGACCTCCATGTGCAAAACATTACATGTTAGGAATTGTTATCTCTGATACAAAATAAAATGCAAACAGATTGATAGCTACAGACAATTTTAATTTTCCATCATCAGTTGACTTAGTTAATGCTTCGAGTTTCAGATGTGAAAATGATTATGCTCGTTCAGCATGTGCTAATAAGTGTCTGCAACTAGGCAATCAAGCAGAAAGCAGAAGGCTTGATATCATTGCTGTCACTGCAATATGATACTTTGTGAAATTTATTGGCAGAAAGAGCAAATTTTTACTCACATTCGATGTCCCAATATATGTGCCACACGAACAGCAAAGAGGCACAGACCGACAGTCCCCAGCATCATAAGGAAGAATCCATAGCAAATGCAAGTCATATGTTTGCATGAAGCCTGACATGTCTGATCTCGCGTGATAGTAGTATATGCAGTAGAAGAAGATGAATATGCCGGTGGAGCCTCTACATAGAACAGACCTGAAGACGATAATATGAGGTTTTCAGACCATGAAGAATGACTATTATGTCAAGATCAGATGGTCTTTATATTAAGCAAGGAAGATATGGGATAAATGAATGTAGAACTTTTTTCATTAGCAAATAACAAGTAAAATTGCACAGAGCAATATGTGGAAACAAAATAAATTATATACTGCAACCTTTATTTTGAAATTTTGTTTGAAAACTGATCCAGCATATTTGCAATCAGCAGGAAGCTAATACCAGATTTCTGCACCATTTATGACACCTTTTCAATGGAAAAACTACCACAAAAACCATGCGAATGTTATCTTTGACGTGGTTCAAACTCAGGAGTCTCCAATCTACGGGAGAGATCAGATATTATATTTAAAAACAACTATTAGCAAATCAACATAAAATTATCTAATGGCAAAGGATCGGAACCAATCACATAAAATTATTGGGAATATTGATAACGATCGTTCTGACATTCACATTTTAACTTGTCAATAAGAGGTATCAGTTCACACGAGGAATTACTGACAATCTATAACAGAAATTGGTAACATTGTACATAAGGGAACATAGAAAAAAGTAACTAATAATAGCAGACCTAAATGGAGAGACACAGTTAGAAGCTCAATGATCACTAACATTGATTGATAGACGTATGAGGATACATTAATGTTCCGCCACAGGAACCTATGAAAAGATCGACACCAATTCCAAAATGAATGCCTTCCCACTATGAAATGGCTATTCCAGTCCGTGGAAATCCTGGGGGCTGGATATGAGTCAGTAAGGCTACAAGAGGATCAATTGGATACCATCTTATTTCTGAAAAATAGAAGAGAGGTAGAAAAAGGAAACACAGAAAAGTGTAGTTTTAGTTCACATGCTAGCTATCTCCTTCCTGGAAGTGGTCATCGACTGATTTGGGCTAATCATTCTGAATGCTCGTACCTTAAGCAGCAAGAATCATAAATAAGGAAATCCTTAAACCAAAACTTTGGAACATGAAGATAAATAAGCGAAGTCTCTAGGCAGCAGCACTGTAATATCGAATGAGTTCCAGTAAGATCAACAATGTTCACTTAGTTGAGTGTAATGCGTCAGTTAAATGGCACTTTAAATTCATGAAAGTGCATGAAGAAATTGGCACCATATTCCAAATTAATCATTGAATGCACAAGTTTAGCATAGCAGCTGAAAAGAATCAACAAATAAAAGAAACTGAGACTGTTCAATGTTAAGTTCATGGACAAACAGATATTCTTTTATTTTTATTTTTAATTTGAACTACTAGTATAGAAAATAAAGCCAATTTTCATGTTCAAAGTTCTAATGCAGTGGAAAAACATCAACCAAATTAAACCTACAGCGAGGTGTTGAGGATTCAAATACAAGTACATCACCGAAAGAAAGGAAAAAAAAAAAAAAAAGCTTCTAAATTCTTCCCAATAGAAAGAGTCAAGCCACTGGTTGTCTGCAGGGCTACAGGCATGGATTGAAGACAAAGCACTTTCATGAATTACAAAAACTGGGCACTTGACCTTTTAAATTTTATTAATGCTCTCCATCAAAAGATAGACCAATGTAGCTAAAATTGCTAAAAAATCTGAGTAAAAAGATTGTAGTCAAAACAAGAGGCGGACTTCATAAATGTGGAAGCAGAACGAGAAACTGACATGGCAAACCGCAAGAAGTCCTAAGGCATAGCACCGTGAACTACTTCGCCTGGCAGTCTTGGCAAGCATGCTACCGAATGCAACACCAAATCTTGTACCTTCTATCAGCTCCCACCCAAAATCAGCGCAGATACCTCCGTCTTGCGGATACCTCCGTCTTCAAGATCCTCCGTCTTGAAGACACACAAAGAAATGCATAGATTGTACACCACAAGCCAACACCAGAAGAACCAGCGCAGATACCTCCGTCTTCAAGATCCTCGAACCTAAAATCCATCAAGGAAAGCTCAAAATCAACCCTAGACCGAACCGGGCGATTGGCTCGCTGGATCTCGGAGATACATAGAAAGAAGCTGAAGGAATGTGCGAAAGATAATTTCAAATTAAATATATATAATTCGACACTAAAATATAATTAGTCTAATTAATTTGGGGCTTCCTAATCCAGAACAGGAAACACGCTTACATCTAACTTATCGGATTCGATTCCAGAATCCAGAACAGGAAACACTCTGTCCAACTCCAAGTTATATATATATATATATATATATATATATATATATGGGCGTATCGCGCTCCTCTCCCACTCTCACTCTGTTCTTTCGCCTCTCGCGTCTCCTCTGCTCCTTCTCCTTCTTCTCCTCCTTCGTTTCCTCTCGGATTCGATTTAAGAATCCAGAACAGGAAACAATCTGCCAACTCCGAGCGCCATTGCCTATATATATATATATATATATATATATATATATATATATGGGCGTATCGCGTTCCTCTCCCACTCACTCGGTTCTTTCGCCTCTCGCGTCTCCTCTGCTCCTTCTCCTTCTTCTCCTCCTTCGTTCCCTCTCGTCTCCTCTCCGGAAACTTTAGTCATCCATGGAGCCCGTCGACCTCGTTCCGAGAGGCTACAGGTTCGTTCCCACTGCGGAGGAACTCGTGGTCGACTACCTCGCCAACTGGGTCGCCGGCACACCCCTCCCTGGCCGCGCTGTCGCCTTCGCCGACGTCTACGGCACCGAGCCGTGGAATCTTCTCGGCAGCGATCGGCAGGAGGGCTATTTCTTTGCGGAGCGCCAGCCCAAGACCAGCGGCGGATCGCGCGTGGATCGAACGGCCGGCACCGGTTCTTGGCTTCTGAACAGAAGGCAAGAACCCGTCAAGTCCATCGTCGACGGGCGCGAGATGGTGGTGGGCAGACGGAGCTATCTTTCCTTCAAGGACGGCCGGCGGAAGAACTCTGGGTGGACAATGTATGAATACGAGATGTGTTCATCCACCTTCGAGACACGAGTTCTCTGTCACGTGAAGAAGACCTCGTATCAACCCATCTCCGGCGGCAACTTCAACAAAACGGTCGAGTCCACGTTCACGGAGGCCGCGAGGGAGACGCTCACCGGTGGCAGTTTCGTTGGGCAGAAGAGAAATAGAGAGGAATCTTCTACTCTCTCATCAGCAGCACCCAAGAAGTCCTGCCGGGGGTTGGTTGCACATCCCAACGGAGCATTCCACTCCGACGTCTCACCATCTCCAACCGCGGTGGTGCAACAGCTCTTATTGGCTCCCGTCGTGACAACCCTGGAGAGTCGTCTTTCCTCCATCGACTCCGTGGCACCGAACGAAGCCGGAGTCCCAGCCGCCACCCCATCGTCAACGGACGTTGGTGGAGGTGACCTCGAAGCATTTGACCTCGGGATAACTGCGGAGGAGATCGAAGCATTCTTGGCTTCGTCTTCGTCGTCGGTCGATCTTGGCGGTGAGCAGCACTGCACCGACGATGCTTTCTTTACCAGAGAGGTTGATGCTCTCTTGATGTCCGATGCCACCGACACAGCCTCGACTACCATCCCCAAGGCCTCGCCGTCAGGCCACGTCGATGTTCTCTTGATGCCCGATGACACTCGGATAGATTCGACCACGGTCGCAGAGGTTTCCTCGTCGATCGACTTCGTCGTGTGTGAGCAGATGTACTGCACCGACGGTCCCTTCTTCTCGAGCCTGGAAGAGGTCCATGCCTTCTTGATGTCCGATGACACCTTCATTGCCTCCACTACGATCCCAGGGGCCTCGCTGTCATCCTCAACCGGCCTTGCCGCGGAGCAAACGGAGTTGCAAGCCTGCTTGAGGTCTGATTCGACCACGGTCGAAAAGGCTTCGATGTCATCGTCGAACGACTCTGTTGGGTGTGCGCAGACGGAGAACATAGATGACGACGACGGCTTGCTGCAAGAGATTGAAGCCTTCATGAAGGACACCGCAATGGATTCGACTATGATCTCGTGGTTGGAGCAGTAGCTTTGTTTGTATGGAAAATACTGTTTGTTCATGTATATCATAATAATGGAAGGAAAAGAAAACGTATGTTCCTGTAAAAATTCGCCAATAACACGATACATTTTTCATCCCAACCCATGTATTTGTTGTCTCCTTTGATGCGATGTTGGTCTCCATAGGATGGTATAACGAATGAACCAGCAATCTGAGAGAGAGAGGTCACAGTGTTCTCCCAATGCATCAACATACCATAGTGGGCAAGCATTCTATTTGCCCACCATCCTCTATCATCAACTTCTCACAAAGTTAGTAATTGCTGGTTTAGATGATTGGTATTTGATCTGGAAATACAAAAACATGAGGCACAATTGGGAACTGATGATGTTCTTTTTATGCATCCAAAAAGATAACTAGTTTTCATTAGTGTAATTGATTGCTCATTCATTTGTCTTAAACCATGAATGATCAACCATTGAGCAAAAGAATAGAAATGAGATGCAACTACTGCATTTACAGTGCTAATTCCTGTGGTACACACAAACCTTGACAGTGCTAATTCACTTGATCATATATTTAGTAACATCTACACACCACTAATGCTAACACACTCACTGATCATATATTTAGCAACATCTACACACCACTGTCAAATGGGCAATAACTATACAACACCACCAAATTGAGATTTCTACAGCATGGAGACCATCAGTGTAGTTTCAGTTAAAAAAACTAGAATCTATTCTCTCGATGCTCAAGCAAACGATAGCTCGATTGTCCCTGTTGACATTTCGATACAATAGATAGGTTTGGAAGTTAGAGCAAGTCTGTACAGAGGAGGCCACCATCAATGCCAATCTCTACAACATCAGTTGCACAGGTATGCACATCCCTTGGAGCACTGCACCATTAGACATCTTCCCCATGGGTACCTCCAGCAATTAGGTTTCCTGCGTCTAATCCCACAGCAACAGTTGGTCGTGAATGTGGTGCTTGTGGTGGCAGTAGCCTCCCTATGTATGTCTTCTCTAAAGCGATAACAACAATCATAAATTATTAGTATATAAGCAGAGTCTGTAAACAACACTATCGTAAAATCAGATCAGTTCCAATAAAATTTTCTTATCCAGC